GTTATTAATTTTAAATTCTAAATTTTTTGTCAATAAGTTGTTACGCATACATTTTACTAAATGTGACACATCAAAAATTGGAATAATTTCTATTCCGTTTATGACGATTTTAGATAAATTTATATTTTGCTTTTGCTCAATAAGCTGTTCTTTCGTTTCAGATTTTAATTGATTAATAGCAGCAATGTTTGACGACCCCTGAGTAGGTGTATAGGGCCGGTTCTAACCCAGGTCCTCCGAGGGGAATGCGGAGTGCGGGGGGTACTCGTAGGCGCGGGGAGGGGGATGACATCACTGGGCGAGCGGGAACGGGGCGCAGATTCCAGGGTCGTCGGCATCGTTGTTTACCTATGACCCCAATCATCACTGTTTATAAAAAAATAGAATCCTGATTGATGGGTCATAAATGTATCGTTTTACGATGCATTCGATATTTTTCACCGCCGCTGACCGCCACCCCATACCCACCCAAACAAAATGCGTTAGAGTATTATGCGGTAACGCGGACAAAGAAGACCAAGAAGCGCTGATATTTTTTTAGGTGGATATCGACGATATGTCGTGAAGCGTTTAAGAGAAGCGCTGACGTTTCAGCTGCTCAATAAAACATAATTCTTCTACAATAAATGATAGTGGTACTCTAGTGTAACAAAGAAGTATGAAATCACACTGCATTCTCACAGGTCTTTCTTTCAAGTCCAAGGATGTTTTTTTCGCCGATAACAGGAAGCTGGTAAAACGAATATGAATGCTTTTTCATTTTTCAAGATTAACAATTATAAACTATACCCAACCTAAGCAAATACTGTCTAGATGTGGAATCGCATGTTCAACTAATAGAAGAGAAAATCAGCGATTGAAAAAGAAAATATAAAAACTCACGTGAGAATAATGTGAATCACAACTAGATGGTTTGGAAGGGATAAGTTCATCCCCTCTCTCGAAATCAAAATCTTCACAGATGTCGCATCACCAATAAGTTTTTAGGAATTTAAAATTTACAGTGTGGGTGGAGCAAATTTAGAGATAGGTCTCCAATAACAATCTGAGAAACAAAAATTTTCCACCAAAAGCGGAAAATCCTGCCAATCTGAATCTTCAATTTTCCTACTTAACACATCCCATTATGGAACCAAAAGATTCCAGTATAAACCATGACACCGCTCGATCTTTCGCAATTATTTTTCAAAGTGACAGTAACGGAAACGATAGTATTGCTGATCATCGTGCGAACGTCGAGGACATAGTGTTCAATAATATCAGAAACGCGGATCCGGAACACCTCGAGCATATTATACACGAGGTGTTTGAAGAAGAGGGAATAATAAACTTTGAGGAGATACTGGACGAAGAGTCGTCCGACGAAGAAGTGCTATCCGACGATATTGGATGTGCAAGTGATCAGAGTAAACACGATACCGACCGCGTCGACAAAATTGTGACGTCTCCGGAAATCCGCGCGCTGAACGTTCATGTAAAACGCTGTATGATACAATGCTACTATACGACAGGTGATGCGTATGCAGTATGTGTATCATGCATGATTAATATATCGGACACTGACATCGACTTAATGTATCTCGTCAAGAAGCACGATACCGATTCTTTCGATGCGCTAGTCGGTCGGTCTTGCTCTATATTATAGACAGCCTATGTATACAATATTTCCGTGCAACATGTGTCCAATGTGCACATATTGAAAAAACTATTAAGTGCTCCATGTGTGATCTAAAGACTGAAAAAAGACATGGAAAATCACGATCGAGTGGAACGCGAACTGTTAGAGCAGTGCGGCCAGGTCGCTAATCTGGCTGAATGTCTCGCGTGGCTGCAACGGTGCGACGAATGCATCGAGCGGCTGGAAGAACTGTGTCGTGCCAAGCGTCCGCGGATCGTCGTCGGACACAGACAATGCTTGTGGCGAAGATCGCGCGACTCGCGGGTGCAAAGACTCAATTAGAGCGACGTTTCGTACACGTTGGTGGCGAGTACTCGAGCGGCAACGACAGATCTCTCTCGTTTGGCGAGAGATCGACCGCGTTCGAGAGTCGTGTTTTGACCGGTGCGGTGATCAACGCGGATTACATCGAGCCGCGACGATTTTTAGAAGACGCTGGCGATGTAGTGCTCGAGCGAGTGCGAGACGTCGTAGGAAGACATGGTAGTGTGAAAGTGAACACTGCGTTCAACGGTGAGTTTGTGGCGAACGATAAACGTGCCACTAAGGCCCATTTTCACAATATATGGTAACTTACAGGTTAAAGGTTACCAAGAAAGTCATTGTTTCACGACGTTTGGTTAGGATTTAACCCGCAAGTTAACCAGGGTATATTTTACCTATACCTATACTCGGCCGTTGGGTTAATTTGATATTTTGAAGCATTTTAACCTCGCATTTAGAAGAAAATACGTATGTCCCCGTATGTAATAGTAAAATACAGCGTAGAAGAGCAAATTAAAAAATGGATATAGATATAAATGCTTATAGCAGCGACGAGGATTTTGAACCAAGAAGACGATTATTTAAACCGCGAATAAATTATTTTGAAGAATACGATCAAGAAGAATTTCATTATAGATTCAGATTAAAACCAAGGACAGTAGAAAATATTTTAGAAGAAATTGGAGATATTATTTCCCATCCCACGGGAAGGTAAATATTTAGTTGTTTTTTTATTATATTTCCCATCCCACAGGAAGGTAAATATTTAGTTGTTTTTTTATTATATTAGCTTTTTCTTGTATAAACTTCTGTTTAAGATAATTATTTTGAAAATTGTATTTTTTAGAAATAATTGTCTTACTGCTAGCCAGCAGTTATTACTTGCATTAAACTTTTACGCAAATGGATCATTTTTGCGAGTAGCAGAAGATTTTGGCGGAATTAGTGTACCTACAGCTAGCCGAACAGTAGCAAGAGTTTCTCAAGCCATAGCTAGTTTATGCCCAAGATATATAAAAATGCCTGAAGGCGATGAAGCCACCGAAGTGAGACAAGCCTTTTATAATATTGCCCGATTCCCAAGATGTATTGGATCAATAGATTGTACCCACATTAAAATACAGTCACCAGGTGGTGATAATCCTGAAATATTTCTAAATAGGAAACAATTTTTTTCTTTAAACGTTCAAACTGTTGCTGATCCATTTCTAAAAATAAGGGACATAGTGGCACGATGGCCAGGATCTTGTCATGATAGCCACATATTCAGAAATTCTGCTTTATATGCTTCCTTGGAAACTGGTCGATTTGGAGACAACGTATTAGTAGGTGAAAGCGGCTATTCAGTAAAATCTTATTTAATGACTCCTTTACAGCAAGTGAGGAATAACGCGGAGGCACTTTATAATGAATCAATAGTCCGTACAAGAAATGTTGTAGAAAGATCGTATGGAGTATGGAAAAGAAGATTTCCAGCATTGACAATGGGAATACGTTTAAAACTAGACACAGTTCAAGCTATGATAGTAGCTACAGCTGTTCTTCACAATAAAGCCTGTGATGAAAAAGAAAGGTTACCGTCAATAAATCATGAACAGGAAATTGCTTTGATAATATTAATAATGTCCCAGTGCAAAATATTGAAGGTGATATTATTGGAGTAAACGTAAATAATCAAATAAGACATAACTTAATCTATAATTATTTTGCAACTTTATAATATTTTAGTAGGTTACGTACTGAAATACTTACATTACTTATGTATTCAATTTTCTTAATATGCTTAAATATATTGTATATCAAAACACTGTGTATGTATTTGACAATGTCAATATGTATTAACACATTTTTATAATAAATGTTCGTATGCTTAAATCAATCAACTTTATAATCATTATTTTTGTGCTACACAAAATAAAATTGTAAATATACATAATTACTTTACATTTTCGGGATAACTTAACTAAAATAATGCACAATACAATTCCTTAAAAGAAAACATAACTTTATGTCAGAAAATGTTTTTTGTACGTCAAAACAAAAATTAACTACTTATGTTAATCTTCGAATAATAAAAATAACAGAACTTTATATTTGCTACACACACAAAACAATTGTCATGAGTTATTAGAAAGTATATTTAGTATATAATTTTCATTTTTGTGGAAATAAAAAAAGAAATTCCACAATCAGAAAATTATTTCAAACATAAAGAAATATTAAAAAAACTTTTAAATGCAAATAATCTTTGACTAGCAAGGAATAGCTATATCGTATAAAAATAATAAAGAACTTATACACATGAAAATAATGAAACAGAAACTAGACACATTCATAATGAATAATGCAACATTGCACAACATATTTATATTTTAGTTCAAATAAGGAACAGAAAATATCACGTTCATTTCTTACATTGTTTGATAACTTCATTACACATTAAAATAATAAAAAAAAAAAGGTACTAAAAGTGTTTATTCTCAATACAACATTGTAAAACGTATGATTTGTACTTTAGGTCAAATAAAAACAGAAAATATTACGTTCATAAACATATTTCTTACATTTTTTTGAGAACTTCAAGTTTCTTTTCTTTAATTTGCTTTTTTAACTTGAGGATTTCCATTTTTAGATTATATTCGTCTAGACTATTTAGATTAAAAACTTTTGTTTCTGTAATTTTAAAAAATCTAATTTTTCAGTAATTATATTATTTGCTTCGTCAGCTCGTCTTTTTAAGGGACATTGATCTATTTCTTTTCTCTTCCCTGAAAAATAAAGTTTTTTTCAAGAGTGAATAATCATATATTTGCTTTAAATTGGAATATCTAGTAAAAATATCATATGTACAATTTTATTAGAATATTCAATACAATTCTTACTTGACTCAACAACAAGTTTCTTCGATCACAGGATCCTTTAAATTTTTGCTGCAATAAGCAGTCCAATCATTTGTTGAAGAAGATGAATGTTCATTGTCGTTTTCTTTATTTCCTAGTGTTAAGAATAATCTTATTAAAACTCTGAATTTTTTTTAAATATGTATAATTATACTTATTTATGTATATTGTTACGTCACAATTGAGATTTTCTCCGTTTTTAAGGTCAATGCATTAAAGCAATTTACCCGGGGATCGGAGATCAAGCCGTGTGGTCAGGGATGTTCGGTAGGAAGGGTCGGATAATGATTTGGAAGGGAAATCTTGAATCCGGTGCCCAGAAGATTTCGCAGCTTATAGGCGAGTCTGCGTGGATCGCCCTTTTGGATATCTTTATAGTCAGGAAACGAAAAATCGATCTCCAAAGGTTGGAGTGAATATGCGTTTTCGCGAGATGAATCTACCGGTGCGTTTCGATTTAGAAGTTGCGCTAGTTTTTGGAAATGGGGGAAAGGATCTTGGTTTGAATTAAGAGCTGATTTGATTTGAAACCTCAATCTCTTTTCCTGTTGTCTACGTCCGCCTTTCGTAGGCATGTAGGTAATGCAAAAGAATAAATGCTACGAAGGAGTATCGTAAGACGGGGGCCACGCT